TCGGCCGGTCCTCCGCTTTCTACGAAGCGTCCCCAGAATTTGCAAGTCACCCCCGATAGCTCCATTGCGACCTGACAGCAGCCTGCCGTCTGGGCTGATTCATTGGTTCGCCCTCCCCTTCCCGCCGGACCCGCGTGGGAAATCCTTTGAAACGAGTTGTAAGGAGCTAGCTGCCCGCAGCGGTTAAGCTTAGGAAGAACCATCCCTGCTCTCCCGGGAAACACCCGGGGTTAAGAATCCTTTGAAACAAGCCTGGAGCTGGCTCCGTTAGCTTGAGAAAAGCCTCTTTTATTCGCCCCAGTCGCTTGGACTGAAGCCCAGGTTAAGGTCGCGTCCCCACTCCTCCCCGCAGGGATCGCCTGTAAAAAGCTTTTGAAAGGGACTGGAGCGGACTCTGCAGCAGCCCGCTCAGGGCTCGATAGCAGAGGGCGGCCAGCATTTCACTCCCATGGACCATGGCAACCCCAGAAGTTTTGCAGCTCCAGGCAGGACTCAGCAGCTGTCGGGGAAGCCCAGGAGTTTGCAGTGACTGGATGGATAAGGGGCCCGGGCTTCCTCCTCTTTCCCGGTAGAAGAGAATAATCTGGAGGAAGGGTGACCTGCCCTGCTGACCTTTGTTCAAAAGCACCGAGCTGCCCGGACCAAAACAGATATGCACACAGCTGGCGGAGGAAACCACCCTGGAAGTGCAGGAAATTTTTAACGAAATGAATTTATCTGTGGGCCCCTCCCATCCATTCAGGTTCTTAAAAATCACAGGATATTCTTTCACCTTATTCGACATCGCCCTAATTTACAAATTGCAAGGTCAGGTGGTGGCGGTACTCCTGGAATCCAGTATCCATATTCCTATTCTGAAAAGCACACCTCACCTCCTTCACCTGGAACTCTTTTCAGCTTTTAATAAGCAACCCATGTGGTCATAGATGCCCTAGAATGAATAGAAGACCGCAGTGCTAATGTGGGATGCAACTGTTAACACTGGTTTTCTCTCCTCTACTCATTCTGCTGAGCCTATATTTATTTAAAATACGGCTGTTTTGTTACTCGTGGGTTAATTGGCATTAATTCTGATTTTTTTATTTGTAGTTGTAGATGGACAGAATGTTTTTATTTTATTTATTTTTTTATGTGGTGCTAAGGATCCAACCCAATGCTTCACACATGCTAGGCAAGTGCTCTGCCACTGAGTTACAATCCCAGGCCCTAATTCTGATTTAAAAATATATATACATACAATAAAAAAAAGAAAAATATATATATATATACATATTGTCTTACAATATTATTAACCAGGACTATTGACTTTTTAGTGCCCCCTTCAATATTGTGATCAAAGCACTATAGAACTGAGAAAGTTTCCTCAGTCCTACCACAAATAAAGCACTCACATTCTGTTTTTAGATGGATTCATTGGGCTTTTTTAAATGCATGTCTCAAAGTATGAGAACAGCTCAACTTTTTTTTTTTTAATATTTATTTTTCAATTCTCGGCGGACACAACATTTTTTTTTTGAGAGTGAGAGAGGAGAGAGAGAGATAGAAAGAGAGAATTTTTAATATTTATTTTTTTTTTTAGTTCTCGGCGGACACATCTTTGTTGGTATGTGGTGCTGAGGGTCGAACCCGGGCCGCACGCACGCCAGGCGAGCGCGCTACCGCTTGAGCCACATCCCCAGCCCAACAGCTCAACTTTTGAACAAGACTTTTGAAGGTGGAGTTCCAAAATCTTCCTTTCACAAAAGTGGAGAAATTTGTTTTCTCTGAAACAGAAGAATAAAAGTTTAACTTTATACCCAGGGGTGCTCTTCCACCAGGCAACCCACACACACACCCTCAGTTTTATGGTTCATTTTATTTATTTATATATATATATGAAACAATACCCTTATGCCCTTATGTAACTTATTTTTTTATGTGGTGCTGAGGATCAAACTTAGTGCTTCACACATGCTTGGTGAGCGCTCTATCACTGAGTCACAACCCTAGCCCCTCAGCTTGTTTTCAAAAAGTTGGAGGAAGATGGACTTTGTGTTCACCCAGATCCTCTGGAGACTGAAGGATGGGCTACAGCTTGAGTCCAGGAGTTGGAGACCAGCCTGTGCAACATTGTGAGACCCATCTCAAAAAATAAAAAGACCTAGGCAAGGTCGCCTGTAATCTCAGCTACTTGGTAGGCTGAGTCAGAAGGATCCCAAGGTCAAGGCTAGCCTAGGCAATTTAGCAAAACCTTATCTCAAAAGACAAAAAACACTGAGGATGCAGTTAAGCAGTAGAACAATCCTGGGTTCCATCCCCAGTATCAAAAAAATAAATAAAAGAGTGGAGTGTAAAATCTCCCCATAATGAATAACTGGGATTGTTTTTCCCTTGTATTTTATTTCTCTCTTTTTTTTTTTTTTTTTAATTTAGATGAGGCTGGAGTTGTGGCTCAGTAGTAGAGCACATTCCTAGCAAGTGTGAGGCACTGGGTTCAATTCTCAGCATCGCATATAAATAAATGAATAAAATAAAGGTACATCAACATCTAAAAGAAATATTTAAAAAAGAACAATGTTCATTACATAAAAGTAAGACAAGCGATAAGGAAGAAAACAAAACAGTGATAACCCCATATATCTAGAGAAAATTACTATAAATAATATTTTTAATTAATTGATTATACTATTTAGAAAGTTTTAAATGTCTCCCTAAGGTACTTACAGTTCTTATCGCCCTTCAAGGACAACACAATATAAAATGGTGGTTGGCAAGTACTTTGTAAACTGATAAAAATATTCAAGGCTGTACAGAATTTTTTTTTTT